GATCTTTTTTAAGCCCTAGAAAATTATCTCTCACCTTCAGTTCTTTGCCACTAATTCCTAATATTTGCTGATCTTATGTTTCTTCCTAAGATTATCCCAGATTTTTTACTTACTATTTTTTTCATAATAAATATTATTTGCTTTTAGTGAACAGACTGCATAAATTCTTAGACAAATTCCTTGTGCGTCCAATCACACTTGGCCAATAAAGAATTCTATTCTGTTCCGTTCCGTTCCATTCCATTCCATTCCATTCCATTCCATTCCATTCTATTCTATTCTATTCTATTCTATTCTATTCTATTCTATTCTATTCTAAGTGTTTTGGTTTCTCCTGATTTCAGCTGCCTTTTCCAATTCAGTTATTCCTGTGAGGCATATACTGTAAGTTATAGGGCAGGGGGCCAATATGCATTCTTGTCACATTCTCTTTCCTAGTCTGAACCATTGTTTTTGCTCTAAACTCCAGGCTTTCTCTGAGCCGTTTGCTCATTGTAAATATTCCTTAGATGAAGATCAAGTGTTTTGACATCTCTGATAGCCTCAATATATTCTACATTTGAACCTCAGTTACATAGTCAAAGACTGTATTGCCCTCAATAAAACTGATGTAACATTTTTCAAATATTTCTCTTGCTCTTTCAATTACTTACTGCTGGCATCTCTCTCCCATCTCTGAAATCTATTTGTTCCTTTGGCATTGCTCTTACATTTCCCAACTTCAGTACAGATCTATATGCTGACCTTTTTCAGCCTCCAGGTGATAGCAGCTAATATTTTCCATATTTTGTGCCATATATTTTTTGACAATGAGCTGTTACCCCTTTAATTTAGAATAGAATAGAATAGAATAGAATAGAATAGAATAGAATAGAATAGAATAGAATAGAATAGAATAGAATAGAATAGAATAGAATAGAATAGAATAGAATAGAATTCTTTATTGGCCAAGTGTGATTGGACACACAAGGAATTTGTCTTTGGTGCATACGCTCTCAGTGTACATAAAAAGACAAGATACATTCATCAAGAATCATAAGGTACAACACTTAATGATAGTCACAGGGTACAAATAAACAATCGAATCATACTAGGAAGCAATCAATATCAATATAAATCGTAAGGATACAAGCAACAAAGTTACAGTCATAGAGTCATAAGTGGGAGGAGGTAGGTGGTAGGAACAATGAGAAGATTAATAGTAGTGCAGACTTAGTAAATAGTTTGACAGTGTTGAGGGAATTGTTTGTTTAGTAGAGTGATGGCATTTGGGAAAAAACTGTTCTTGTGTCTAGTTGTTCTGCTGTGCAGTGCTCTATAGCATCATTTTGAGGGTAGGAATGGAAACAGTTTATGTCCAGGATGCAAAGGGTCTGAAAATATGTTCACAACCCTCTCTTTGACTTGTGCAGTATACAGGTCCTCAATGGAAGGTAGGTTGGTAGTAATCGTTTTTTCTGCCATTTCTCTTCTTTCATAGTTTTAAATAGTTCAAAGAATATTTCATTTGTACCTGTAATTGTCAATACACTGTAATACAGCGAAAGATGAAGGAAGATGAAAATGTGATATTGAAGCATTATAGGATTTCAAAATGACAGAAATAATTGCAGAATATGTTCAGAAATCTCCTTTCCCTCTATTGCCTGTTGAACCTCACTTTTTAGTAAAATTGATTTCTGAACATATTCTGTAATTATTTCTGTCATTTTGAAATCCTATTTGTAGATGCTTCGATATCACATTTTCATCTTCCTTCATTTTTCACTGTATTCCTACCTTAGCTGTCCATTCTGCAAATGGGTTGAAAAAGTCCAAGTCACCACTAGGAGACAGCAATGAGATACTGAAAGCTTAGTCATTGCTTCCATCTAATTTTTGTAGCCTAGATATGATAACCTTAATAGAAATATGCCTCATTTTTCTCTATTTTTAACATTCTTGACTGAAATCTTTCCTTGTACTTTTTTACTTAAGTTTATCTGGAATTGTGTTCAATCATTTTGTTTCCTTCTTACTGCCCAAGACTTCAATCCTTCATTTTCTTTACATGTTCTCAAAACCATAATTGACCTTTTCCTCCTCTAATTTTGAATATTCAGTAATCACAATGTCTCTTATCTCTTTCTATAATTATAATGTTCTATTCCACATAAATTAAGGATACTGAATTTATTCCTTCTATTGTGGCCAAGTCAAATCTTGCTGGTATTGTACAGCTACTCTTAAATTGCTAAAGTTTTGCATGGAATCTGCACTTGAAATTTTCTCCATCTCCTGAGGTTTTTTTCTCCCTATAGATTCAACTGAATTCTGATTTTATACCCAGTGCTATCCATGTATGGTGTTTGCATTTTATATAGCCTGAAATTGTTCAAATAGAACAGAATAGAATAACAGCATTGGAAGGGACCTTGGAGGTCTTCTAGTCCAACCCCCTGCTTAGGCAGGAAACCTGATACCTTTTCAGACAAATTCAGGCAAATCGTTATTGACAATTATCAGATAATTCTGTTTGCAAAGAATAAATTATTTTCCACTTATTTTGTTGTATTCATCCAGTTCAAATGGTAAAGTGGTGTAAGGTTTCCTGTCTAAGCAGGGGGTTGGACGAGAAGACCTCCAAGGTCCCTTCCAACTCTATTTCAACTCTGAGTCCGAAAGGAGAAGGGCGGTATAGAAGTTTGAATAATAAATAATAAATAAAATAAATTATTGTATTCTAAATCCTCCTGAAATTGCAGGTTCCTCAATTTCTCCAATTTTTGCATCCCAGTTATCCAATTAATAGTCATGCCTCCATTCTCAATGCATCGTTTAGCACTGTGGCATCAATCTACCACAGAATAACTCAATATCATCCCTTATTCCATCTGTGGTAGTTGCATAAACATGTCTAAAATCACTAGATGTCCATAAAATCTAGTGACAATCAACTAAATCTATTAGTTTGAATATCAAACTAATAGATACAATTGAATATTCATCTGGTTTTCAGCAATTTTATTGATCAGCTCTCACCACATTTTCTGATCTTGTATGGCTTCTTTCAGTTATTGTTAATTCTAATAGAGTGGAACTAATTTGAGTGTTATTTCTGAACACATATTTTGTTATGTCTGCATGCCATTGCCACTCCATTCCTTTATATGGTGTTATTATGCCCCAACTAAAGTGTTAAGTAACAATCTGATTTAGAGACCCATTCTGGTCCACCTAAGTTAACTTTTTCTTGAAGCATCCAATGCAGAATGCTTCAATTATTTTTGACATTTTCAAGCTTCTTTGGTTCATGCATCCCATATTTCTGTTCCACTTACAAGTGCCTGGATCTATCAATAAACAGAGTCCCACATGGCCTAGCTTAGTGTTCTTCTGCAAGAACAAGAGGAATGCTTCTGATCTGAAGGGCTGGGCCAACTCATCATTGGGTACCCAAACTGTTAAATGTTTCAGGCACATCAATAGATTTTTCTTCACAACAATACCCAAGTGAGTTTCCATTGCTTTCTTCTGGATTAGATTCTGGATGTTGATTTTTTCTACTAGGTGGTCTGACTTCTCTCATGTCTGAAGAGCCAGACTTGTTTGCATCTCCTTTGTGGGTTTCTCTTAGCTTTATTCCATCTCCTTTGATTTCACAGGCATCAGTGATGCTAACAGGAGGCTCCCATCACTTCCAAGCTCCCTGAAATGCTTTCCTTCAAGGCAAGGGGGTGACCTTGCCACATTTAATAATATATTACTTTATATATTTTTTTCTCATAAAGATGCTCCAAGCACTCTGACGTACCAAAACAATTTAATAATACAAAGAAGCAACACAATCATTTACACTGAAATAATTATCACATTTCTCCTCTCACTCCCAAGCTCCCCGAAATGCTTTCCTTCAAGGCAAGGTGGTGACCTTGCTGACCCACATTTAATAATATATTACTTTATATATATTTTTTCTCATAAAGATGCTCCAAATACTCTGACGTACCAAAACAATTTAATAATACAAAGAAGCAACACAATCATTTAACACTGAAATCATTATCACATTTCTCCTCTCAGCCGGTTGAAGCTGGGAGTCTGTTTCCCATCAGATCACAGTATCCATCACAGCCACAGCCGCAGTATCCATCACAGTATCCATCACAGTCCACCATGCTACATGTTTCCATATGCAGCCTGAAACCGAGCATCTCTATTGGGGGCATTAGGACAGCTACATCTTTGTGGGCTGGGAGACAGGCATACATTCAACAAGTGATGCTTTTGCTGGCCAGAAGCCAGAGCATGTGGGAAGGGAAGGGAGCTGTCCCTCACCTCTCAGTTTTGCCTTGACAGTTTTGCCTTGTCTGCTTGGCAGGTGGTTGTTAAGAGTCTTGCCAGAGAAGAGATGCCCCGAAGCTAATCAGATTAGTCCACCGGAGAGGGAAAAAAAAAACACACGTGTAAACACTAAACTATTTTATTCCCAAGGCCGTTTGCATTCTACAGTCATCCAGCTGTCATCCTGCCAGAGTCTTGTCGCACCTTGAAGGCTTAATGGGTTTATGACTGAATTTTTTTTTAATTTTTAAAAAAAAAATTTTTTTTTTTAAATTTTGTATTGTATGTGTTTTTATTGTTTGGCTGTGCACCGCCCTGAGTCCTTCGGGAGTAGGGCGGTATAGAAATCTAATAAATGAAATGAAATGAATGAAGGAGGAGACCTGTGACTTCTTTAAGGCGAATTAATTAAAAACCACCACGAAGTTAACGGCGGCATTTTACAAGCTAATTTGGTGGGAGCGTAAACTTAAGAGCATAGGATCTCTCACCCCCCCCCCCTCAGGAGCCGTGGACTCCTGTCGAGGGAGCGGGTGGGGGGGGTGGGGGGGTGGAGGCAGCCCAGGGAGTCCCGAGGATCTTGGGCTGGCGTCATCGCTTCCCCCTCCTCCTCCCCCTTCCGGAGCCCCCTTCCCTTTAGCAAGGCGGTGGGAAGCGCTAGGACCCCGCTGTTGCCGGTTACCTACCCGGGTGGACGGTAAGCGGAGGCGGGACAGACTGCAGCGACGGCGGCTCCCTGAAATAAATCCCCGAAGAGAGGGAAAGGCAGCTGGCAGGCGGCCCACGAGGCTGGAGTGGAGAACGAGCCGGCTCGCTCGGCGTCTGCGGCTCAGCGCTTTCCCGCCTTTGCGCTCGGCTTTGCCATGGTAAACTTTCTCGCTTCTTTCTCCGCTTCCCCCCCCTCCCCGTCCCGTTTTATCCCCCTCCGTTCGCCAAGCCTCGGCGTCCTTTCCCGGGACTCCCTTCTCCTTCTCCGGCTCTTCCCTTCTTTTTACCTTTTTTTCAATCCCACCCGCAGCGGGTATGCTATGGTTAGGGTACCCAGGATGGGAAGGTGGGCGCGCGAAAATCCCCCGCGACGGAGACCCGGGGCTCTGGTTCCAGACCGGCAGCAATTTGGGGGCCGAGGGTCAGCCGGTGCCCTGAGCTTCTAAGGGTCCGGTGTGTGAGGTCAGTCCGTTGTTTTCTCGAAGCCCAGCTTACCTGGTCTGGTACGTGTCCACTCCAGCAGGTGCCGGTCGGAGATTATCCTCCTGCCCGCTCAATTAAATGAGGATTTAATTTAGCTTAATTAAATGAGGACCCGGTTTGTGGGGGCAATAGGCTGACTTCGTATAAAAAAGAACACCGCTTGGGGGGGGGCAAAAGCCCTACTAAGCAGGTATATACAAAAGTATGAAGGCTATTGCTTAACGCATTGTAAGCCGGCCTGAGTCTCCGGAGAAGGGCAGCATATAAATCGAATGAATGAATGAATGAATGAATGAATGAATGAATGAATAAATAAATAAATAAATAAATAAATAAATAAATAAATAAATAAATGAATGAATGAATGAATGAATGAATGAATGAATGAATGAATGAATGAATGAATGAATGAATGATAAATGAATAAATAAATAAATAAATAAATAAATAAATAAATACATACATACATACATACATACATACATACATACATACATACATACATACATACATCCGGCGTTATGCTTCTCTGCCTGGTCCCTTCTACTTACTCTTCCTATATTAAGGACCGCGTTTTGCGCCTGAGCATCTGATGCGAGGAGACCGAAAACCTCCTCCAGAACGATGCCCTGGCCCTTTAGGGCTCTGCCAAATGCACCTCTTGAAGGTGTGACAAGTAGTTTTAAATCTGCTCAGCAAGGCTGCCTGCAGAAGAGCAAAGGCTGGCTCAGAAGAAGAGTGGGGTGGGGGAGTCAGTTGCAAGGGATAGTTTGGGGGCAGCCTGGGGCTGCTATCATTTCCTCCTGAGCCTTTTCTGCAGGCTGTAGTCTCCCAGGGAGATTAGACATCAGTTCCTGTAATTCCCCAGCCATCATCACCCTGTTGGGTGAAATTTGAAGGCATTAGAGTCCCGACCAATTTGGAGAACCCCGGATTGGGAGAGGCAACTGTACCCCGATGGCTTGTAAAAAAGCAGGCATGATCCAGGTTTGAAGGCAACACTGGTTATTCCCGTGGTTAATATGACGGTGTCAGAGATTGCATTTTTCACCACACCCAGGATCTGCCTCAACCACTTGCTTTGCTTAACATGCACAGGAGACCACTGAAAGGCCCGAGAAACTGTAATTGCTGAATTGGTTCGATTGCTCTGATCTAAAACAAAGAAGAACCAGGATGCTTAGTATGCCTGTTGCAGTGGGGTGATTTAATCAAACTACCCTTGAATCAAATAAGTTCTTGGTGCTTTAAACAGTCCTGGTGACCAGTAGATATTAAGAGATAATTCAGCGTATCACCCACTTTCATATGGAATATGTCATTTTTGCATTTGGGTAAGCTACATTTTTATTTATTTTTATTTTATATCAAATTTATATACCACCCTTCTCCCTGAGGACTCAGGGCGGTGTACAGCCAAATAAAAACATAAACTACAAACATTAAAATACTATTAAAAAGATATATATAAATTTGGCCCCGTAATTAAAAAACAATGACAAACCAGTTAAAAACATTTAAAAGTGTTACATTTATCCTGTAACAAATATTCCGTTGATATCTTGATTCCAACTCTTGGATGAGCCTAATCTGTAGTTGCAGTGTCTGCAAAGGTCCTTGCCTCGAGAGCTTTAGAAATGAGAATTATAAATTGTCCTTGTGTGTTTTCTCCTTGTGCCATCCACACTACACAGTGTCATTAAAAGAATTGCTGCCATAAATTGAATTGTGACTTTCTATCTATGTTTCAATATGGATTGCATGCCAAGATTTTCAGGTCAGTGATCAAGTCAAACTCTATTCAGGGGTATGGTTGGTATATCCTACTAGCATATCTTACTATTAAATTACCGGTATGTAAGTAGGGAGGTATAACCATACCTTCTACATGCCAAAAGCCATACTCTACCACAGATCATCTGAAGAGGTATGATGAAATGCTAGGGTTTTTTGCCCATAGCTGTGGCTATAGTTGCCAATTTAAACAAGGAAAACTTACTCCAGAATATAAAGAAACAGCAGAAGCCTGGTGGAAGATGGGATAAGATTAGACTAGCATTGTGTGATCTACATTGGTGTTACCAAGTAATCCTGGAGCTCTGTAAATTAGAAGTGAAGAAAGGGCCTAGGTCTTAGTGTGTAATATGCATTTATGCAATTTAATTAGTTTATAGTTCAATATATTGATCAAATGAAAAAAAAGGTTAATTCACTATCCAGGTTAAATTAGTTATGTAAATATAATCAAAGAGATTTATATAAATCATCTAATAATATATTCAGCAATCCTGAAAAATGCAGTAGGTAGCTGTTATTCCCATATAGCAGTAGGATTGTGAAATAATAACTTGCCTAAGATTTGAATCCAAGATTTGAGTCCCTGCTCAACAGTGGCATTCTTAAAAATCTGGTTATGTGGGCTTTAATCTAACAATCTGAATTCTCTCTTTCTTTCTGTGGTTTAGGATACCTGTTGAAATAGTTCTTGGCTTGGAAATCATCAGTATCAAGGAAGAACAATCCACGTGAGAGCCACAAATGGAGAATCAATCTTGGGACTTTTTTGAAGCCCTCATGGGCAATATCAGCACCAACCAGACTCTTCTGAACAAGATGCCTCAGTTGCCCCTGGAGATCCAGGTGGTCACTATCTTGCTGGTCCTTCTGATCTGTGGGGTAGGCATTGCAGGCAATATTATGGTAGTCTTGGTGGTTCTTCGCACCAAGCACATGGTGACTCCCACCAACTGCTACCTTGTGAGCCTGGCTATAGCTGATTTGATTGTGCTACTGGCAGCAGGGCTGCCCAACATCTCTGAGGTAGTGGCCTCCTGGGTGTATGGCTATGCTGGTTGTCTCTGCATTACTTATCTGCAGTACTTGGGCATCAACATCTCAGCATGCTCCATCACAGCCTTCACGGTGGAGCGTTACATTGCCATCTGCCACTCCATTAAGGCACAGCTGCTTTGCACCGTAGCCCGGGCCAAACGCATCATCGCTGTCCTATGGCTCTGCACTTCGCTCTACTGTCTCATGTGGTTCTTTTTGGTGGACACCTCGAAAGCCATGTTTGCTGATGGCACTCAAGTCAGCTGTGGCTACCGGGTCTCCAGGAACCTCTATATGCCCATCTACTTCTTAGACTTCACCATATTCTATGTCATCCCCCTGGGCTTGGCCACTGTTCTGTATGGTCTCATTGCCCGCATCCTCTTCATGAATCCACTGCCTGCAACACCACAGCATGCCAGCCGGATGAGCAAACGCAGCAGCTCCATCACTACCTCCAGCTCCATGAAGCTCTCTTGCCGAGGAAACAAGGGTGCTTTGAGCTCCAGGAAACAGGTTCTTCTTTTTGCTTATTTTTAGGTCAGGATGCAAATTAGGTGTGTAGATGCACGGGAGATTAGGAAGCCTTTGCCCAACTGGTCCAATTTTTTTCTCCCCTTATGAACACCTCTCTCTAGGACTTCAGGCACCACATATGATAATATGAACCTGGTATCTGATTACACTTCCAACATTTAGCTGATAGGTTTTCAAAGGTCTCTCAACTTTTCTTGAGTGTCTGAGCCAAAGAAGCTCTTCTCCATCATCTGGATCTTTTAATTGGGGTCACCAACAATGAAACTGGGAACTTTTCACTGACTCTGCTATTGAGTTTGCCTTTGGTGAAAGATAGGAAGTTATGGAGTATTTAAGTAAGGTATAGGCAGAATATAAAAATTATTTGCGGGTGCTGCTATAGAAGGGGGAAAGAGGAATAACACAGTGGTGGCATGATGGGAAAGAAAAAAAACCAAGAACAAATATGGAATATTTAGAGATCCTAGATATTTGAAGTGAAGATAAAAACTGTCAGGCAGAATTAGCATTATGCAGCTATACGATTTAAGTTATATCTTTCATTTCATTCTAGAATCTCTTGGAGATATAACTTAATTTATGTCACCCTTCTATTCTTTTCAAATAATTTTGTATCATACAAGAAGCTCAAGCAGACAAGGATGATTCTTTTCTTTCCCCCCTTGTATAAGGATACAAGCCACAAAGTTACAGTCATACAGTCATAAGTGGAAGGAGATAGGAGATAGGAACGATGAGAAGATTAATAGTAGTGCAGACTTAGTAAATAGTTTGACAGTGTTGAGGGAATTATTTGTTTAGCACAGTGATGGCGTTCGGGAAAAAACTGTTCTTGGGTCTAGTTGTTCTGGTGTGCAGTGCTTCATAGAGTCATTTTGAGGGTAGGAGTTGAAACAGTTTATGTCCAGGATGCGAGGGGTCTATAAATATTTTCACAGCCCTCTTTTTGACTCGTGCAGTTTACAGGTCCTCAATGGAAGGCAGCTTGGTAGCAATTGTTTTTTCTGCAGTTCTAATTATCCTCTGAAGTCTGTGTCTGTCTTGTTGGGTTGCAGAACCAAACCAGACAGTTATGGAGGTGCAGATGACAGACTCAATAATTCTAAGACTCAAAAATGCTAAGCCTCTCTGTTCTGACGCTTTGGACAACAGAGTATTTCTTCCTTGTTACTAGTTTTAAAGCATTCATTTCTCAGCAATGTTATTATTGAATATTTATATATTTATTTATGTATTATTTATTTAATTTATATGCTACCCAGCTCAATGTCAAATAACTGAATATCTTACAACAAATGGTGTATAATGGTTAATATGGCCCTTACAAGAACAATTTATTATTTTATTTTATTTATTTATTTCAAGTGTTTACAAAGCCACCCAACTCTATCCATATACCTCTTGGCAGCCTCAGTTAAAAACAAGCAATTCAAGAAAAAGAAAACCCTTAGAACTTAAAACTACACCCAAATATTGGGAGAAAAGTCAGGATGAAAATCAGAAGGACAACTTGCAATCTTCTTCCAAATTATATGCAGGTGGAAGAAGTCTCAAAGGAGGGAAGGAGATGGAAGTGAATGGGAGGAGCCTAGGGGAGCCCATAGATTCATGACAAGAGTTACTTATCACTCACCCAGCAAAGGGAGATAGAAGGAGAGTAAGAATCAAACAAATGGGAATGAATGTTTAGCCTATGTGAGGTATACAATTCCCTTTTTTGCAACCCGTGGAACCTGCTCCCTGCTCCAATGACATTGCCAAAATGTTCAACAAATATCTGAGATATGACTCCCATCTTACTGGAGAGATGCAAAAAATAGAATGCATTACAATTATAGTTATGACTATAGTTATATTCAGTTCTCTGCATCTTTCCTGCTATGAAGACATTACAGTAAAAAAAAAAAAATCTATTCCTAGGTCTAAAAATGTTGTCTGTCCAGGTTCCAAAGGAATTCAGCACTTCCCATGATCCAGAACTCTGATGTTCTATTTAATCATTTTACATTGAAAGTTGTGATCCTAACCCTATGTAATAAGGGCCATTGTTTGTGGTGTGTTATATGTCAGAATCATGTGACTATAATTAGTTTCTGAGATTATAATTTTAGACACACTTCCTTGCGAACCAGGCTCCTTGAGTTGTTTGGACTAGGAAAATTACAATTAATGATGAATGCTAAGGGTACTCCAGGCTGAGATCTTCAGATAACCTACTTCTATTCAATAAACAGAGAAGGGGGCCAGTTCTCAAACTTTCCAAGAGCTGTTGCTATTTGTATCTTCATTCTCACCTGTAATAATTTAATGGCAAACTGCATCATATACAAAATGGAAAATACAATGGATAAAAAGTTTCCTGATTTTTTTTCTGCAGTAAAAATAATTTACATTAATTTTATTGAAAAAAAAACATTCCAAAGATGAAATAAAAACAGTAAAATTCCATAAGATTGTGCATGGAGTGTTTGCATGATCTTATCAGGCAGGTAACAAGGTGTAGGGAGCTGCGGTTGGTCTTGCCTTTCATCTTTCAGAGAGCCATCCTGTCAATATTGTGAAACCTCCCTGGATTCCCACATATTCCAATTAAATCCAAATGTAGGAGAGAATTCCCCCATTGGGGATTTTGTAGATCATGAAGATGATAAGCAGAGAGGCCACAGGATGCTGAAGAGATGTAGCAAGAAGAACAACTAAGTATAAAATGCTCCAATGTACTTTACAACCTTGCAGTAAAACGTGAGCTCAAAACCCACCACACTAACAATTTTTCAATGAAATTATAAGCAGTCTAAGAAGCTCTTTTGTAAATGAAAAATATTCTGGAAATGTTCAGCACATCATGGAGATGTACAGTAATATAGGGAAGGAACAGATATAGTTACCAGCCTTAGTCATACCTATGCCATACAGAGCTTTTCCTACTAATGGGACCTGGCAGTGTGAAATATTTTTGACACTATACCACAAACACAACCAATGTTCAGTTTTATCCCTAAAAGTTCATGTTATTAAATACTATTCAAGCTAGGATTTGTTATGTAGAGACTATTTGCCTATTTGACTATTGTTGCCTGCATTCTAAAATGTAGGAAATACAATACATGCTGCAGAACAAGTTCCTGATAGGATAGGATATTAGGATAGAATAGAATAGAATAGAATTCTTTATTGGCCAAGTGTGATTGGACACACGAGGAATTTGTCTTTGGTGCATATGCTCTCAGTGTACATAAACAGACAAGATACACTTGTTGAGATTCACAAGGCACAGCACCCGGTGACAGTCATACGGTACAATAAATCAAATCATATTAGGAAACAATCAATATAAATATAAATCGCAAGGATACAAACAACAAAGTTACAGTCAAGCAGTCACAAGTGGGAGGAGATGGGCGACAGGAACAATGAGAAGACCAATAGCAATAGTAATGCAGCCTAATGTGAATAGTTTGACAGTGTTGAGGAAATTATTTGTTTAGCAGAGTGATGGCATTTGGGAAAAAACTGTTCTTGTGTCTAGTTGTTCTGGTGTGCAGTGCTCTAAAGCGTCATTTTGAGGGTAGGAGTTGAAACAGTTTATGTCCAGGATGCGAGGGGTCTGTAAATATTTTCACAGCCCTCTTTTTGACTCGTGCAGTATACAGGTCCTCAATGGAAGGCAGCTTGGTAGCAATTGTTTTTTCTGCAGTTCTAATTATCCTCTGAAGTCTGTGTCTGTCTTGTTGGGTTGCAGAACCAAACCAGACAGTTATAGAGGTGCAGATGACAGACTCAATAGTTCCTCTGTAGAACTGCATTAACAGCTCCTTGGACAATTTGAGCTTCCTGAGTTGGCGCGGAAAGTAAATTCTCTGTTGTGCTTTTCTGATGATGTTTTTGATGTTAGGTGTCCATTTTAGGTCTTGAGGTATGATAGAATCTAAAAATTTGAAGGTCTCTACTGTTGATACTGTGTTGTCTAGTATTGTAAGAGGTGCTATAATGATGCTATAAATACTAATGACCAAGACAAAAATGGATAGAATTGTTCTGAGAATACAGTAGATGATGAGACCATAGTTATAGATAGTGTAATTGAATCCATGTTCAGCTACTAATGTGGTTAGGTTGTAGCAGGGTAGATACTGTATGTAATTTGTGTGATCTGTGCCTAATGATTAAAAAAATACTCTTATTGTTGCCTTATCTCAGGGAAAGGTAGCAAGAATGACTGTAAGAACTACAGAGAGAATTTGCTTAGAGTTCTTGAGAACGTATTAGGCAAGAATTCTATCTGAAACAATGCAAGAGCTGATAAGGAGGAAGATTCATGAAGTGCAGTGTAGGAGGAAGCCTACCAACCAGGTTTTTACTATTCAGCAGGTCACTGAGAAATTATGAACAGGATTATCTAAGTATATGCTTTTCTTAAAAGAAACTGCAGAGTGGTAAGGCTCCAAATATTACTTTCCTCTGTAATCTGTCTATCTCTGTAACTACCATGCCAACCTGCTTCTACTATTTTCCTAATAAATTTAGAATGTATGTTAGCAAGCAAGAACCCTGGTTTTCCTGATTTTTTTCTAATGATGAAGGCATGCTATGACTAGAATAGCATAGCATAGAATAGAATTCTTTATTGGCCAAGTGTGATTGGACATACAAGGAATTTGTCTCCAATGCATAAGCTCTCAGTGTACATAAGGAGAATAAAATACATTCATCAAGAATAAAAAGATATAGCACTTAGTGATGGTCAAAGTTACTAATAAGCTATCAAATTGTACTAGGAAACAAGTAAAAACAATATAAATGGAAAGATACAAGAGTTGTGTTAGCCAACCTCCTGGCACTCCTGATCAGAAGCAGCAAAGGGCAAATCAGTGGTCATTGTTTAGTGTCATGCCCAGATTGGGAAATTAGGTGTCTGCTTACAACAATGCACACTACAGAATTTCTCCTTTTTGTGCCACTCAGTCCTTCCTTTGTGT